CCCCCAGCCGGCATGCTTTAAGAGGGATGGACTTCCACTCCCAGAATTCCACACTGCATTGCTGGCTGGGGAATTCTGGGAGTTGAAGTCCACCCATCTTTAAAGGGGCCAAGGAGGCTCACCTTTTCCCCTGGCCCAGGTATAGGTGTGATCCATCCTGCTGCCCCGGAGCTCCAGGGATGATGGTTCCAGACGAGAAGGAGGGGGCCGAAGGCGGATTTCCTTGGCTTTGCCGGCACTGGTCTCTTTTAATGGCGGGATGCATTTAGGGAGGCCTTTGAAGAACCAGGCTCCGGATCGCTTCCAGACCTAAGGAAGACATTTATTTTTTTTAAAAAAAGGGGAGTCCTTTGTTCTGACTGCTCCTTTACTTTTATTTATTTTCTCACTTTATTTAATATTCCTTTAATATTCATTTGCTTTCAGGCTTGCAAAATTAATGTCAGCCTTCCCACACGGAGCAAACGCAACAAGATGAGATAATTTTACTTCATTGTTAAAGCTGCCTTCACAGAATCTTGCAAAAACGGATTTGTCTGTAGGTGAACCAGGGTAAAAACCATGCAAACAAAATTTCTCTAGCTGCATCCCTGAAGCATTTTGTAGTAATGATTAATGTTGTTCCTTTTTTTAATAGCACGGGGGGGGAGGGTGTGTGTGTGTGGAATATATAAAAGCAAAAAGATACTGGTGGAAAATAAAGGTTTGGATAGAAGAGATGGTTAAACAGAAAGTAGAGTTTAGACCAGAAATGTTATTACTGGGTATTATTAATGAGTAAAGGAACAATATATTTAATGATACATATAATAACAGCTGCGAAATTGGTGTATGCCCAAAACTGGAACAATGAAGATACCCCTACAGAAATGGAAATAATAAGGAAAATATTAGTCTGTGCAGAGGTGGACGGACTAACTTTAGAAATCAAACATAAGGGTGAGTATTACAGAGTATTATCAAGTGTGGAGTAAAATGTATCAATGGCTAGAGTCAAGGAAAAATAAAGAGAGTGTTGACGCTTCATAGGAATGAAAGCTAAAGTTTTGTAAACTAGAGAGAATGGAATAAAATGGACAAATGTGATATGATACTAATGCATGGGCATAAAGGACGGTTGTAAATATGTACATAATTGTAATCATAAATGTAGATAAATGTAAATAGAAGCAATATGCAACTAGCACTATGCTAATAACATAAGGGGAAAAGGGAAATTAACTGTTATATGTATTTCTAAACTATAGCTCAGGAAAATTAACTGTTATATGTATTTCTATACTATAGCTCAGCAGTTGCCAATTGGTGGGCCGCAGCCCACTGGTGGACCGTGAGAAAGTGTTGGTGGGCCGCGGAGAAATCTCACCCCCAGAGCACCCTCCCAAAGCAATTAATCCAGGCTGCGCTGCCCACATGGCCAGCGGGAACCCTCCCCGCCCACTCAATCCTTACCCGATAAACTTGCCTGCTAAATTGCTATTTTTCCTTTTTCCGCCCATCCTCTGTTCTGCTCTGCCAGGAGATTTAGATTAGCTAGGAAGCAGGAAATGGTTGGATTTCTTGCTTTCTAGCTAGTCTTTAGACTACTTCGGCACAGCCGAACCTCCCTTAGGACTGAAGGCTTGCTTGCAAGCAAATTCAGTGCAGACTCACGGCAAGCAAATTTGAGAGACTGAGCTAGCCGATGGCAGATAGACAGATCACTGAATGATTCTGTGAGCAACTCAATCTGCCTGCTTTGCCTGATTTTGGGTAAAAGTTGCTCTTTTTTATAAAAAAAAAAATTTTTACATACATGGTGTGTTGTGAGTTAATTTTGTGAGTTTGCTTGCAAGCAAATTTTATGAGTTTGCTTGCAAGAAAATTTTATGTGACAGACTGAGCTAGCCGATGGCAGATAGATAGATCTCTGAATGAATCTGTGATTCTGTGAGCAACTCAAACTGCCTGCTTTGCCTGATTTTGGGTAAAAGTTGCTCTTTTTTATAAAAAATTGAATATTTATATAAATATTTATAATATTTACATACAAGCCATGCCCAGCCAGTCACATGACCAACAAGCCACACCCACAAATTAGGCCACACCCACAGAACCAGTTAGTGGTCCCTGGGATTTAAAATTAGGAGTTTGGTGGTCCCAGAGGTCCAAAAGGTTGGCGACCCCTGCTATAGCTTATATGGCCAAAATGATGCCCAAGAAAGTCACACTGTGTTCAATTGTTTTTAAGGTTTATTCAATAAAATTTTTTAAAAAAAATAAATTTTGGGGGGCAGAAACACCGATGAAGACACAACCCAATTCTAAAAAAAAGTGTTTGTGAACTTCTGTGGTTGTTATTATTTAAATGTTATTTTAATCTCCCCCAGGCTGGGTGGCTATAAAAATTTAAAATATGAATAGTGTATTGTAATATTATAATGATTTAATAATAATTCCAAATTGTGACCTTGAATTTGGGAGGCTGGGCAGAAAAAGAGACCTCGATATTCATTCCCAGTTTGCGCACATGTGTGCCAAGGCACAAGTAGTTGTCTGTTCCAAACTTCAAGAGATATATATACAAGTATTCCGGAAATTACCATTTGTCTTTTAGCAACCGTGACAAAACAACATTTCAAGATTGGGTGGGGCTACATGATGCAGGGAATCCTCAACTTACAACAGTTCACTTACTGACCGTTCGAAGTTACAATGGCACTGAAAAAAGTGACTTAGGACCACTTTTCACACTTAACGACCGTTGCAGTGTCCCCGTGGTCATGTGATCAAAATTCAAATATCCGAACTAGACTGTGTTGTGTCTCCATGTCATATACTATTTTTGCCACCAAAAAAGGCACCAGGTCTTATTTTCAGGGGATGTCATCCAACTGACTAGCCTCAATTGCGCACATCGCACCCGGCCTCCTTTTCGCGGTCAGAGGCCTTCAGGAACTTCTCCTGTGGCCGGCAAGGCTTTCCTGAAGGCCTCTGCAGCCAATAACAGAGCTCAGGATCGATCCAGAGCTTTGGTCTCAGCTGCAGAGGCCTTCAGGAAAGCCTTACCAGCCTTGCTGGCTGCAGAAGAAATGGGCCGGCAAGGCAGGTGTCAGGGTGTGCGAGGCCTGGCTACAACTGTCCAAAGGTAAGTAGTAGGGCAGTTCCACACACACCCCTTCCCCCCCCGATTTAATTTTTACCCGTCCGTTCTGGAGTGGGCGGGATCTTAATTAGGGCTTATTTTGGGGATAGGGCTTATATTGGGCACATGTGTAAAAATCAAGCTAGGACTTATTTTCAGAGAAGGTCGTATTTTCAGGGGAAGAGGGTAATATAGCCGGGTATATGCATAACTTTTTATTTATTTAGTCATGTTTGTTTAGTGTATATTGGAGAGCTGTGGGCTGTCAGGATTCCGGCAGTTACCCCCATTTAAATCATGAGTCTTGAGCCAAACTTCCAAAACTTAAAAAGGATTTATTGTGAGTTAACATGCCGGCATTGCCCGGGTGTAGCTGACTCTGAGGCACATAATTCATTGTCACCCTTGACCCTGGTTTTCCCCACACCCTCTGGGTGTATCGTAATTCATATTCTCCAATGGGACACATACATAGCCCAGAGTCATCAATCATGCTCTCCAGGTAGAATTTTGCATGACAGAAACTTCTGTCACCTAGTTACTATCTTTGAAAATATTTATGGAATGCAGTTTCAGTTTGCAAGCAGCTGCAATGCTCCCCCCTCTCTTTCTATTGGCAACACTAAAAAGACCAGAGAAATATCTTATGAGTTGACATAGGCAATGAAATTTCATTTTAATATATGTCGATTAGTGTATATTCAAAGAGACAATAAACTTGTTCTAAGATGCTTGGCAATTGGTTCAACATTTATGACAGTTGCGTAACCCCTGGAGATCCGCTTCTGACAAAGCAGAGTCAATGGGGAAGCCAGAGTCGCTTAACGACGGCGTTGCTCACTTAACAACCACAGTGATTCACTTAACAACTGTGGCACAAAAGGTAGCAAAACGGGGGAAAGCTCACTTAGCGATTGTTTCATTCACTTAGCAACAAAAATGTTGGTCTCAGCTGTGGTCTTAAGTCGTGGACTAGCTGTAAATGCATTCAATAGAAAGCCAAGGAGGACATTTTTGGGGACTTTCAGCTGAAAACGCATTCAAGCCAAGAGAAAAGTAATTTCAGTTTAAAAGAGGGTCAAAACCTCACAGATGATAAGAGGACGTGAACGTTGGTCACCAATTTCACCCCGGGTCGTTTTTTGAGAGAGCGCACTTTTCCTTCCAATTTAGATTTTAATACAGTGATTGGGGACCAAGGGAACTTATTAAAACATATTTTAATCTATAAAAGCCTCGCACAAAAGGAAGAGCAGTTGTCACAGAAAGGGAGGCAAAATCCTGAAACTCAATTTAATTTCTGCCCGCCGGCAAAACCTCATCAAAGACTCCACGAGATCATCAGAGAACACACTTTAAACACAAACACACACACATACACACATGCACACACACCAAGAGTCTTAGACCTGTGGAAACTGTGCCAGATAAGACATTTTCTCCCCCGTGAGAAACTTATTTTTCCATCTCGGAAAAAAATAAAATGTGAATCGATGCTCAACGGATTAGAACAGACTGACTTCCACCCTCGAGATATTTATCCTTTAAAATTGGACAGGAAAAGACAGCATGGAGAAATAAACGTGTAGCTGATATCATGGTAAGAAACAACTCTCAGAGACATGATTTATTATTATTATTATTATTATTCAATCCCCAAAGGAGTCCAGGCCAATGTGTCATACGCTTCGTTCATTTCTTGCCATCTAAGGCAGAGGTCTTCAAATGTGGCATATTTAAGACTTGTGAACTTCAACTCCCAGAATCCCCCAGCCGGCATGCTTTAAGGGAGGGGGGACTTCCACTCCCGGAATCCCCCAGCCAGAAGGCTTTAAGGGAGGGTGGACTTCCACTCCCAGAATCCCCCAGCTGGCATGCTTTAAGAGGGGAGGACTTCCACTCCCAGAATCCCCCAGCCAGCCTGCTTTAAGAGGGGAGGACTTCCACTCCCAGAATCCCCCAGCCAGCC